AGAAGATTGATCATTGTGCAAGAACCAGGTTTTTTTTGTCTCTAAAGTAGAACCCACCTAAAAATAACTCACTCCTTGTCACGTGAAAAGTACCAGAATGCGCCCAACCGAATGCATGGAGACATGTGCACTCCAAGTGCCTGCTGGACACGTTAATCTGCAACTATTCCTTTTTTTTTTTTTTTTTTTTTTTTTTGTTAATTGCAACTATTACAATGATTCTAACTAAATATCCAAACATGATTGTTTTCAATAGAATTCCAAATTGTAATCTTTGAATAAGAGTAGAGTTAATTAATACCACTTTTAGTTATTAACTATTAATTTGTATAAATTTAGTTTTTTAAAAAACCTTTTTTAAATAGTCGAATTTAGGTGGTGTTTGGTTGGAGTATCAAAATCGAAATCAAATATCCAACCAAACACCACCCAGAGAGTATCATTAATTTGGACGAATAAGACACTTGACTTTAAAATTTGTTCCAGCATTGGTCCTTCCGTTATCCTTCTGTTTGTTAGGCGTTAGTGGAGGGGCTAATTTGGTAATTTCCTTAGCTAATTGCTTTCTTCTTCCTCATGTAACCATATCTAAGTATGCCAGATGCTGAAGCAAAAGCAATCTTTGCTAGGGTGACTCCACCAGCTTTGCTGAGAACTTTTGGCAACATTTTATGGTCCCTTAGCTCTTAGAGACGCACTTAAGTCAATGCTCACACCAAAGCCATTTGTACAAATTGGAAGAGTTGCTAGAGATGGCTCATTTGCGCAATGACGAAGATGAGCTCGTTTTTTAAACCAACAGACACAAAAGAACGCAAGTGATGCTACAAGAATTCTAACAGCCACACCAACTTAGACACCAATAGAAGAATTCTAACAGCCACACCAACTTAGACACCAATAATAACTAAATCCACTGTATGGAACTGTGACAACGCAAAATTTAATTTTATAAATTCGGTTTTAAGAAATTCCAAAATAATCATTTTTCACTCCATAAAAATTTTTATAATGAAATCGGTGTTAGGATAAAATATTTTGAGCCACTTTTAAATAAATTCAACACCGGAACATGAGTTGGAAACAAAAATCCTAAATTCTCGGATACATTGCGTGCCAAGTTTTGAACTGAAAATTCAATCTGAGTGAAACTGGGAGAAATCTGAGAAGCCTAAATCAAGTGTCTATCTAGAAATAATTTTTGAGAAATTCAATTGTAACCCCAAACTACTTTTAAAATCCTGATTTTGGACCATGGTCCATGAAGCATGGTGAACCACACCACTCCAAGAGCTTGTCTGATGCACCTTTCTAGCCAACCCTTTACACTTTTGCCCTCCACCAATTATTGAGTATCTTCCTAGGGTTTTGCACCCATATAAAAGGAATAGTAAGTCAATGTTTTCTCCTGATTCCACCCTTTGCTTCTCACACCTTTGAGCTCTGTAATCACAAGAAAAAGGCACGTAAGTTTCTTCAAGTTATAGCCTCCATTTCCTTCCAAGCTTTCCTTCTATTCTCTTTATCTCTAAGAACATTAGTAGTAAGAATGTTGTGTGGTTTGTTTGAGACTTTTAGGCGGTGAAGGAGGGTGTAGCTAGCTTGGGAAGAAGGTGGAATCCCAGCCAAGAGGGGGAATCTACAAAGGTATAACCCCATGGACTCCCAAAGTTATTTTAGACTCTGTGAAGTCTTGTTTCTATGCTTGAAATGAGAAGAAATGCTAGAATAATGTGTGTTTGAGCTAGTAAATGATCTATTGATGATCTATGATGTGTTGTTGATGATTTGGGAGTGTTTATTTGCCTGATATTGGATTACATGTGAAGAAGAAGCTCACTGGTGCACAACACAGTGTGCACTAGATGAGACACGGATCTAGCCAACGACCCTTGGGAGGAGCTGTTGGCTAGGGCCGTGGAGCAGAGGCCCTAGGGCACGGCTCTAGGCAAGAATCGTGGCCCTAGGCTGCCGCGCTTGGCGACTCCAGGCGACGGGGCTCCTCAAGCCCCGCTAAGCAGAAGTTGTGCAGTGGGCGGGCCCTTGTGGCTTAGCTACGTGTCTTTTCGAATCGGGGCTCGCGGGCCCTTGAGGCTCGGACACTCGGGGCTGTCACGACGCATTTTTAGAATTTGATTTCACTGAATTTTGAGTAGAATTGAGCATTATGAGATAGAAATTGTGAAGAAGAATATTACAGAGTTTGTATGTGAATGTTTACAGTAAAGGAAAATGCTGAGTTTTGGTCTTGGCTATTTGTTTGAGAAGCATGAGAATTATATGAATGTTAGATAGTGAAATATGATCAATATTTGTCAAGTTTTCTTGATTAGCACGCCTAAGTATTCATTGTAAGTATTTGAGAAGTTTTGCCAAGAATGTGAAATTGTTTGATTGTACAGAGCATGAATCTAATTGCCCAGTAAAGTGATGTATTAAGAATATGTTGAGTATTTTGAGTTCAAGAGCATGTCGAATACTTGCTATGTGTTTGCCAATGAAGATTTGCTAAATTATGATTTATGAGCATGTTTATAGAATTGTTAAGAATTCACAGTGAGAAGATAATTGAAGTTTATTCTACAGTAAAGTGCATATTTGAGCATATCATGTTTTAAAATGTATAAATGGCTAAAGTGAGCCTAAGTATTATTTCCAAAGACTCATATCTATTTTAGAAAGTCATTTCCTTGTTGCATTGATAAATTGTTGAGAAGTTATGTGCATAAGCTTGCATAAGTAAAGAAGTTGCATGAGATTTATATGCTATTTATTGTGAGGCAAATAGTATTTTGGAGGCCCGTTAGGATTATGTCCTTTTGGAAGAAAAGAGCAAGATCGGTTAGAATCGGCAACAGTGAAAGAAAGAAAGTAAAGCAAGAAACGGACATTGCGATCCGATATCATGTAACGCGGCGTATTCCCACGTTACGAGGTTGGAAACTGCCCGCCAGGCTTGGAATCCTAGTTAGGGGGTGTGCACACTAATAGTTCGATACCTGATTCCACAGAGTTTGAGAAAAGAACCAAGAGAGTGGTTCTATGGCCGAGATGAGTATAGGTCAGCTAGATGTCGAGCCCAGATAGGTCTATCCACCTTATGGTGAAGTCCTACCTCGCCCATGATAAAAGAAAGCAATAGAGTCAAAAGACTCAAGAGAAAGCAAACGAGTTAAGAGACTCAAGAAAAAACAAACGAGTCAAGAGACTCAAGAGAAAGCAATCGAGTCAAGAGAAAGAAATCGAGTCATTGTGACTCTAAGAAACCTCCACAAGAAATAATATTCTTTTACAAAAGAGTGTATATGTATATCTATCTATATTTATACTAAAAGCATCATGTTCATTTTTATTGCATGATCAAGTATGATTGCACGAGATTGCATAATGATTATGATTGCACTAGATAGATTGCATAATGAGTATGATTGCACTAGATTGCATAATGAGTATGATTGCACGAGATTGCTTAATGAGTATAATTGCACTAGATTGCATAATGAGTATGATTGCACTAGATTGCATAATGAGTATGATTGCACTAGATTGCATAATGAGTATGATTGCACGAGATTGCATATTGAGTATATGATTGCACGAGATTTCATATTGAGTATATGATTGCACGAGATTGCTTATATGAGTATGATTGCACTAGATTGCATAATGAGTATGATTGCACTAGATTGCTTAATGAGTATGATTGCACTAGATTGCATAATGAGTATGATTGCACTAGATTGTTTAATGAGTATGATTGCACTAGGTTGCATAATGAGTATATGATTGATTGTATATTGAGTATATGATTGCACGAGATTGCATGATGAGTATATGATAGCATGAGCTTGATTTGAGTTATATGTTAGCATGAGATTACTACTGAGATGTTAGATAGACTTGAGATTATGGATAAGCTAAGTATGAGAAAGTATGAGCTTGATGATAAGCTAGATAATTGTGAAAGCATACCTATTCGTTAATTAGGTTGCAAGCATATAGAAATCCTGTTAAGTATGATAAAGTGTTGCCTAAGTGATTGAGAATGCTTGATCTAAGTATGTGAAACAAATGTTTTCCAAAAGTATATACTGTAGTACTTTACAGGGTTGAGTAGAGTTATACTTAGCTTCGTGCTAACGGATTTGTTTTCTACTTGTTGTTTGTTAACCCTTTCAGGTGGGCCTAGTTCGTGAGAGAGAGTACGAGTTAGACTAAACTAGCATTAGTTAGCTTGTGTAGTCTAAAACTCTTGATGTTGATTTACTCTTTTGAGACTTGTAGATGACTACCATATGCTTTTGATGGTGCTGGACACCGGGATTTATCCCCTAGTTTGTTTGATGTTTAGTAAGACTTTTTATGAATTAGTTGTTATCCTTAGCCTGTGCAATCACTGTGAAGGGTGATTATGGCGGTGACACCTTTACTAAGTTGTTTAGTAAGTTTATTTCGCTGTTTTAGTTTATCTTTAAAGGTTTAGTCTGTTAATTAAGTTTAAGAAAAGTGGGTGTTACAGGAACATTCTGATGCTTTTTTCCCACATCAAAGAACTCATCTTCTCTTGCTCCTTCACGTCCTGTAATGTCACGTATCTTTCTCTATCCACGGCCGGAGCACCTCCATCACGGCAGGGTGTACTCCGCCGGCATCGTAGAACACAAAATGAGATTTCTTGCCCATCAATCAGATGTGGTACGCCACCAATTCTCGTACCTCTGAGGGCTCAAATTGTTGTACAGAGACTAACCTGTAAAACTCGACAGTCACAACATTATTCTTCCTAGCAAAACTATCACAAGTATGTGACATTGTGAGTCGTATTAGACCTTCTGATATAAAATGCTAATAATGTAGAATTAAATGGGCATCCATCCACAAAATTTCCCGAGTTTGGGACTTTCTGGGCTCTTTAATTATCTACTACTTCTTGCATATGGTTTTACAAAACATATGTGGAAGATATACTCTATTAGAGTATCCTAATTCTGGAGAACCAGAGAGTATCATAATTCTGTTTTATTTGCTATTTTTTCATCGTTTTGTTTTGTTCTCTTTGCTAACCAACTTCTTGCCTCTTTCCCACTAATAAAAGTTTTTAGACGAGATGAAATACATACTTCAATACCATATATGTAACAGGAAGGAAGCATATGTACCATGTCTATCGTGGTTTCAGATAGAAATGACTTTGGCTTGTTGGAGAAAAACACAACCACCCTCCGGGTAAGAAGCTGGCCGGAAGTAGTGGGGGCCAAAGCTAACCAGCGTGACCCAGATAAATGCTAGCTCATTGGTTGCCGGTAGCTTGGCTACATTCACGAAAACCACACAGACCCGACAGAACTGTTGCACCTTCGAACCGTGGCCAGCGAAGTGGACTGCCGGGCAGATTTCTCAAGCTGCCTTGAGCTTACACTGGAGAAAAAACCAAGAGAACCTACTGCTACAAGCAGAGGTAGATGGCAGAACCAAACTGTAGCGAAAAAAGTGGTGGAAAATCTAGAGAGAAGAGAGAGAACCCATTTCTAGATAGAGAAACCACTCTAACCCACTGAGAGCTCTTTCGAAATGACTTTGGCATATGTTTACAAACAGGAGCTATTTTAATGTCTCTGTTAGCTCTCATCTACTATTGCATTCGAAGGTGATCTGCATCTATAGAGACAAGGAATTATAAACTAAAAGACTACTTTACCCCTTAATTTAATGACCACTTAACCTTCATCTAATGGCTGACGGAATGACTAACATTGGAAAGAATTCGAAAATCAAGTGTCTAAATTGTCCAAATTAAAAGTTGGGGACCGATTATGAAAAATCAACATAATTGGAAGACCCTTGCTGGAATTAACTCCTTTTATGACTAATGAGAGAGTTGGTGTTAGTATTCCAACACTTCTCATAGCCAAGCCTTACAATAAATTTGATAAAAATATTACTTCAAAATCTTAACTACTTATTAAAGAATATATAGCCAATGACTAATAGCAAATAATCCTTCTAATTCCATTTGTTGTTTTAAAAAAAAAAATAAATAAAAATAAAAAAAGTTGGCTCCTAAAAATCTTGAATGGCTGCAAGAGACTAATGTAGGGATGGCCCCCGTGCGGGTATTGAAATTCCTTTCCATACCCGCCCCCATGGGGATTTTTTCGGTGCGGGAAATACCCGTGGGGATTTTGCATTTAACCTTAATAATATGAAACTTACATCTAATAAAATTTTATTACTACAATTTATAATATTAATGCATCAAAGTCTTCACCAAATAACTACCAACTTGAATATTACATTTGCTTCCAACTTCAACATTAGTGTATAAAATCTTAACCACTAGCACCAAAAAATAATTACAAGCTATAATATTAGTGAGTTAAAGACATTCCCTTACTACCCAAAAATCTAACAGATTAAGTAAATAACATAATACTTTGATATTGATTTAAATTTAATAACACAATGCATAACACAATATATATATATATATATATATATATATATATATATATATATATATATATATATATATATATATATATATATACCCGCGCAGGTTTAAAACTTTTCCCCCGTACCCGCACCCATTATCCAAATTATGCGGATATTTTATTACCCATTGGGACGGGGATGCGGTTAACCCGTTGGGTGCGGGTAGAATTGTCATCCCTAGACTAATGATTATCATTCAGGTATAGTTATAATCAGTCTCCGTTAATTTTCCCCTTCTAAAATATTTCTGTTTTGTTGAATTTTTGCCTTATGTGCAAGTATCTTTGTTAATCAGTCTACTTGTGTGCTCATTATGTAGTTTCTACTTTCTAATCACGTGTAAATGTTTTTTGGTAGGCCATAATTAGCTCTCTAATAAAGTGCTGTGTTTTTGAACAATGTGAAGTTTCTTTGAGGCAAAAATTAAAGAAAATACTTCATCTTGTAATGTGGTATTATGCAGGGGTGTACTGTGTGGGGAGTCTGTTCCAATTCTTGTGTTCTTGATACTATTAATTTTATTGTGTAAAGAATGGCAATTGAGGTCTAACATTTTGCCTTGTTTCAATTTTATTTTTCATAATGTTTTAAAAGTAAAACATTAGAGACAAGTGTTGTAAGAATATGAGAATAGAGAGATCAGGACAGAAGGCCAGAGGGATTTCTCATTCATCGTTAGAATTCTTATACAAAGGTATCACCCAATATAAGGTAATAATAATACATATAAAAGGTAGTCACCTATCAATTACAACTTCTACCATATATATAATAATGTCCATATTAATATTTACAACACTCCCCCTTGGACATTATTTGACATGATCCTGCCTTGTAAAAATTTGCTAGGAAAACCCTGTGAGAAAAACCTAGACAAAATAGTATAAATGTATATATATTCATGTCTCGTTAAAAACTTCACTAGGAAAACCTCGTGGGAAAAACCTAGTTGAAGAAAAGAGTACATGATATTTATAAGAACATATATTGTATTGATTACCTCATTAAAAACCTTAACTTAAGAAAACTCTGTGGGAAAAACTTAGTTAAGGGAAAAATAGTACAACCAAAACCTTCAGGGCACAATCGACATAATCTTTAGGATTTTGGGGTGTGTCTACTTAAGCAATTATTTTGCAACTTTTTGTCATTTACATGACTATATCATACTCATGTCTCGTTAAAACCTCAATAGAAAACCCAGTGGGAAAAATTAGTTGAGGAAAAGAGTGCATGATGTATGTGTATTCTTGTTTTAGATTAACTGCCTCATTAAAAACCTTAGATTTAAGGAAAAACCCCGTGGGGAAAAACTTAACTAAGGAAAAGAGTACAACTGTTAGTCATCTAAGACCCAATCTTCAGGATTGATTCATGTAAAATGATACTCCCCCTCAAGATAACAATCTTTAATTCCCATACATTAAATTTCTAAACAGTATAGAGGAATTTTGTAAATAAATATATATAACTGTCAATTGAATAAATATACTCTATAATAATCTCGTGACTCTTCTGGAGTTCACGTGGTATAATATTGATATCATAATATCTAGTCAAAAAGATTTCATTATATATCCTTTTTATTATTTGTGCAATACAATCTTCATTGACCCTTTATGGGACAATGGGGGTAAATATAGTACAGCCAGTTTTGGGACTTGGCATTATGGGATACAAAAATAATAGCCAGTACCCAAGTAGCCCATTGTATATTGGTTTGTCTAAGTATCCACTCAAAATCATATATTGGCTAACTGGTGTATAAAAATTTCTTTAAAGAAAAACTCGATCTTCAAGTCGAGATAATTCTTAACTTTCCAAAGCTTTTGTTTCAAAATCTCTGTCTTTAGATATGAGCTGACATCATCAAGCCCTTTATATATTTCATTGATTTTTTCCACCATCAATATTGACTTAGATAATAAATAATAAATAAGTTCATTATCAACTCTTTATCGAGCACACAATGGTACATATTATTCCTTCAATGAGGATATTAACTCCATTCGCAACCCTTTAAAGAGTAAATATAATGACACTTAAATTCTCATTTCTGGGATTATAAATCCATCAGGAATTTCTCAAAATAAATATTAACTGCATATCTAAATTTATTATTATTCTGCCAATAATATTATGTAGCGGAACTTATTGCCATTCATCGTGGGAGAGTATATTTGATTAAAATCAATTAAGGGTCTCTGCGTGAACCCATAGGCTACAAACTCGCTTCATATCTTATCACCTCGTTATTCTTGTTTTCCTTCCACACCATTTGTAACCTACAGGGTTAATACCTCAATGGTGTACGAAAAGAATATATTAGCGAGTTGAGCTGTATATGCCTTTAATTGCTCTCTTTATACGTTAATCAATCTAGGCACTTCTGGCACCTAGTTCTGGATCCAGATTGTCATATAATTTGAGCAATTTGAAGGCAATTGTGTTGTCGACAACTTATAACATTTTTCAAGAATTTCTCCTATATTTATGATTGTTCATGGCAATATTTAAGTCAACCAGATTCTAGACATTTCCCAAAGATATTTTGATCTGGTCATTCCGCATCCCTAATATTACATTTGTTTGGTGCACCTATAATTTTACTAGGGTTTTTCGTCATCTGGACGAACGTCTGCAGGACATAATTATTCAAACTATTTCAAGAGTGACAATGTTTATTTACTAGATCTAGTATTATGATTCTTAACTTTTACACCGATAGATTTCCTACACCTCTGGCGCCAAGGAGTATCGGTAGATATATTTGGTCCAAGTTGGGCAAAGTATATGGGACCTAGTCACTCTTTTATGATCGGTATGATCAGTAGATGTATTTGCCAGATTATTTGCTAATATCGCAAATAGAGATTATCTTATGAACTTCCAGTTCAGTCTAACTAGTACATGGATTTTTAATAATGAAGATGTTTTCATTCTATGAAATTTATTGGCATTCCATTAAAAGTTAATCTATTATCTCCCCCTAATGCCAAGAAACAATCTTCATTAAGTATGTAGTCAGCGTATCTGTTGATCCCCTATAATGGGCTCTAGGTATTTAAACAGCAGACGGAGGTTGATAGCCCATAGAGATACGCTTGAGGTGGTTATACAATAAAATGGACTACATACTAAGACTAGAAACGCAGATCAGAAAATGTTTAATTCTACCACGTACTGTGTATGGAGGAATAATTACAATATGCAGTGAGTCAGATTTGAATTAATACAAATATCCTCAAAAATAGATAATTTGGTAACTTCTCATTCACTCATGCTCTATAAAATATTAATGTGGATAAGAAATTGTAATATCTAACTCATTATGTTTGCCCTTAGTGACCCAATTGGTTATGCCATAATTAAAAATTGGATCTCTAAAATATAAAGATTATCGCAACACAATAAGTTCTCAAATGTATATGAAATTTACCACAAGTGGCATATAAAATCATATAGGGCAAGCATACACATTGAACAAAATGAGTGAAACATTCGACAATCTTAGGGAGATTAAACGCCAAAAGAAGTATAGATGTTGAAAAAATAATCAAATATTAACAATTTGTTTGCTTCAGGAAAACCAACATGATGTTACTCACTTTTGGCGGTTAAGCACATAGCATTCTTGCATAGTAGCATAGCATTAAAAATAGAAATTGCAGACTTCATTCACGAGTCATGAGTCATTGGTCACTCAAAGAACTATTACTGGAGTACAATGTGACTATCATAAATGACATGCAAGATAACGAGAGACAGATAAATTAACGTTCTAAGTTTACCTTCTGGGCAAAACTATATTAAAAAAATAGGTACTAACTATCCTTTTGTTTAAATACTCAAATTTGAGATTTATTTCAATGTCAAAGACTCGTATGAAACAATGCTATAATAAATTAGCGCAGCCAATAAACTTGAATTTTGGACAAATAACAATTGACTTTTAAATCAATACCAAGTCAATTTTATATTTGGGGAATTTGTCCTAGTGCTATTATCATATAATTAGTGCAATAAATTCACCTTCGGGGCAAAACTATATTCAATATTTATGTCATATAATTAGTGCAATAAATTCACATTCAGCAAGTCTAGAACGTATATGAAAATTTTCATGCCAATCCAAGTTCTAGAAGTATTTTTTCCAAAAATATTTTCAACACTGCGTCAGGCAGAAACATAACTAGCAGCACACTGCCAAAATTTTACAGAATTTACTAGAACAACCAAAGCATATTTTTTAAGAAAAACTTTTATAGACATCAAATATCACAAGTCTAGATTCTCCAGAAAAAATTTCAGGCCAAAAGAAGTTCAACAGGTATTTTTCACGAATTTAATTTTCAAACTGCGCCGATCAGAAATTTTCAGACACGCCTCAAATTTTATGCAATTACATTTAACACTCAAGAGGTGCATTGTAAAGACTTTGGTAGGCATGTAGCTCAATACATTAAATAGACATGGAAGCCATTGAAAACTTGTCAATTTAAGCTACGGCATATATTATGCATATTCCAAAAATCATTCATTAAATATTAATATATTTCATGAATGTATTAAAGATTAAATATGAGTACTTAGCTTTGTCATAATGCAGTGTCCATTAGGCACTATCCCAAAAAAAACTGGTGCCCTCTAGCTCCAAAACTGATCTATAACAGCTACACGAACAATGATGCTCACAAGAAACAGTTATTTGGCACAAATGATGCATTAGCCGTACCATTAACACCATTTGCAGTTTTGCACCAATATTTAGCATAGAAAGATTTGACAGATTTAAATTAGGCAGAGTACTCGCATCTCTAACATTAAGAGTAATCACAGGAATAAGACCATTATTACAGAGCAAAGCAGCATGCGAGATACAAACATGATTCAAATTATTAGACCCATTAACACCAAGATTATGGACCATGAAATTATCATTATCAGCTCCCCTAAAATCAGTTTGCACACTTAACAAATTATTATATCTAAATTAGGAGCCAAAACAATCGAACCATGCACAGTATGAGTATTAACAAATTGATTAGTGTCATGCATAGTTGGAACTGAAGCATTATTCGAAGCATGAACCATACCTCGAGCATTGCTGCAACAGGTTGATTGGCATAAAGAAGACCACCAAGGTCCTTGTACCGATCAAAACGGACGTAAGCCGCCGATATTTATTGTTCCTTCGCCGCATAGCCGAACCAGTAGGCCGAGACAAAGCTGAGACCGCAGCAGTCCTGGTTATAGCTTCCGCTCCAGGTTCTCGACCAAACGTTGATGCCACTGGACCGAAGGAACTTCGCTCCAGGTTCCGCAAAGACTCACCGGGAGGGAGAACAGCGTCACCGTCGTTTTGCGCACTGTCTCCCGGAATTTGCGCAGGCATCCGATCATCGGCCAGACCAGCGATGGATGTTCGCAGCACATCCCCAACGCCATCTAAGCCCTCCGATCCTCCATGCAGCGACCGAGTCGCCGGAATAGTCTCCAAAGACGAAGATGCGATCCGAGAATCGGAAATCGCAGGTGACCACCGATCTACCATCTGATCATTCGAGGAAGAGAGGCAGGGGCTACAGAATTGGATTCCAGGGGATTCGCCGCGGCGGTGGTTCGCTCGACGGAATTGTTTTCGAAGGTTGAAGCGACCGGAAATCAGACTGCGGCGATGATCCGGATCAATGGTTGCGGCGGCGGAACTGGTTCCTGGCGATGACACTGCTACCTTCTCCTCCGATTGCCATCTACAGCGCGACTTGGAGTCGCGAGCGGTGGGCGGAGTCGCTCACATCCAAAGCCCAGAGAAAAAAAATGAAGCCAATCTACGACAGTTAGATGCCGATCAAGACAGCGGCGATACCATCGCGACAAGCAACAATAGATCGGCCAAAAACAAACAAAATCTGTGATTTCCGATCCATCATGTATTTCTTCGTTCGTCGGAACACGGGATGAATCTAACTCAGGCCAACGCTTAAGATGTAGAGCAAAGCGCTGATAAATTGTTGTAAGAATATGAGAATAGAGAGATCAGGACAAAAGGCCAGAGGGATTTCTCATTCATCGTTAGAATTCTTATACAAAGGTATCACCCAATATAAGGTAATAACAATACATATAAAAGGTAGTCACCTATCAATTACAACTTCTACCATATATATAATAATGTCCATATTAATATTTACAACAAATTTTTTTTGACAAATTCATTAGGACTAGTTTGGTAACATAATTAGCTTATTTGTTAATTTTGACTTATTTGACTACTATTAGCTATTTGACTTGAGTGTTTGACTAATTAGCTTTTTGTAATAGTTTATTGCTCCAAAGCGCTAAAATTCAAAAGCTGTTCAAAACAACTTTTTTGATCAATCTTTTGAGAATGTCATTTTGCATATAATTATCTATCAACTAACAGCTAATTTACCAAACATCTTTCGACAATCAACTAATGCTATCAACTAGTCAAACCCACTAACCCAATCAACTAACAGCTATCGGCTATTTACCAAACACCCCTGGAAGGGACTCTAAAATTGAATTTTTGTAGAAATCTGCTCTTTTTCTGCCCTTAAAGGCAAAAGCTAAGCACACTCCCAGCTTTATAAACCCTTACAATGCATAACATTTATTCATTCTTTTAAAATGATAATGACAAATGACAACATGTGATCAACTAAGTCTATTATTTGAATAAACAAGAATCAAGCTTAAACACTATCAAGCTTGACACATCTCTTCTGATTGAGGCAACAATTTGTTATCAAAGATGTTGTATTCACTTCAGTACCAATGTTACTGCCATAATATAATATAAGTTTATGAAATCCAAATTACCTAAAACCAAGAGTGCAAGACAAATTCATTTGGATCCAAGATGGTGTTCCACAAGTCTGGCCACCGAATTGGCCAGGGCGTCTGCTCCTTCCTGAGTGGTTGCTTCAGCATATACTCTCACGACGTCTTCTGTTCCAGATGGCCTAACAAAACATCTTCCTCGAGGGTATTTTTCTGTATCACAACAACCCCAAATTATGTTTTATCATTAAGATAAAAACCAGGATTAATTCAATATCAGGATAAATTCATCTGACTATCAATAACAGAAATCAATAGACATGGACTGGATTTGTATATAAAAGCTCTTAAATGAACTTACCAGTTTCAATATTTATTGCTTCCTGAATACCGGTAGGTGTAACAACCACTGTCTCAGCATTTGAAGTGACAATTGCAGTTCTGTCAACTACTTTGACCTGAAAATAAGAGGAAATTTCTAAGTATGATTGAAATGTATATACACTCTGCAATCCCTCTTTTTTTCGATGAAGCAATTATTTGAAAGTTGTTTAGCCTCGAAATGATATCAAGAAATAACAGAAATTGAACCATGTTCCTTTCGCAGAAAAAAAAAAAAAAAAAAAAAAAAAGAGGGGTGTGGCGGGGGGTTTGGATTTGGCAATGAATCAACTTAATCAGTCATTAGAAACAAAGCAAATGGCCAAGTTAACATTAAGTTATACAGTTTACATTTCCCAAGATCAACTTCCTTTTGCTTTCAAGTTTATGTTGCAGTTTGTGATTTGCATATTAATTAACATAGCGGCTTACTCTGTACACTGACTACATTCCAGCCAAAAAAAAAAAAAGAATGCTGAAAACTATTTGGAGCAGAAGAATAAATCCCACAAGAGAGAAAGACTGACCTTAAGTTGTCGGCTAGGCAGATCGTTATAAAGCTCATTCCATTTGTAGATGGACCATCCCATATGGTGTAGGATAGCCTCCACCAAAAGCAAACCACTTAAAGCATCCCCTACAGCTTGATTAATCAACTTACTAACAGCCAAAAGTCTCAAAGCAGCCCTCTGTTCTTCTGAACCTGAAACAAACAAACATTCATTACGAAAGGCAGTTAAAGGCCAACATCAGCAACATATTGATGAAGACTGGTTCAGAAATAACCTTCAGATGTCGATAAATATGCACTATTTCTACTCTCCAACCAGTGTAAGAATGCTTCTGAAAACAAGATGGTTCCATGCCCATTTGCCTCAAAATAAATACCAATATCAAACTCTGCAGCTTTCTCATGCAAGTATTTCACCCCAGTTGGTGTAAGCACAACATCTAGGCCCATCAACTTTAGGTAATCAGTAGATGCCCCATTTGCATATGCTGTCTGAACAACACCAAGCTGTGGTTGACAAGACTCATTTCCTTCTCCATCTATTCTCTTGTTCAAAATACTTAATTGCTCCTTGATAAATAAAGCAAACAGGGATAATATTTTGTCCCCATCAACAAGGTCAATTGTTTTGTTGTCATTTGACTTTACTGAAAAATAAACAAGCCTATCAGCATCGCCATCCAGACTAGCACACCTGAAACACTAAAATAATAACTAATTAATCTGCTTCAAAACTTAATGAATCAAATGATCCTAAAAACATATTTTAAATCATATATTGTGGAAATATTAGAATTGATATGTGAAAATATTTGATTGATATGCATATATTCTTAGGATCTGTAATTAGTGATATGATTTTATTCTTTCCTAGTTTAGTGATTCTTTTTATTTACATTCCCTGATTATAGGATTCTCTTCCCTATAATCAATCTTCTTCTTTGTATAAATTAGGGCTTGTATTTTCCAATTGAAATGAAGAACTATTCAGAATTTCTTACATGGTATCAGAGCCTGACTCTAAACCCCTAGCTCTTCTCTATCCTCCCTCACCAAATCTCTCCAGCAACTATGTCTAAACCTATTGAAACCCTTCCAGTTGATTCCTCACCGTTAGATGGGTCATCACATCCTTCTCACTCGACTTTCACAAATCATCTTAACCTTCCTCAAGTCCTTGCTTACCGTGAATTTTCCAGCAAGTCTCACGATAATGTGGCTGCAACCTCTGAAACATCACCCAATGAAATCAGTCCTTTCTCAAAAATTAAGCTTGAGGCGCTGCAAAAGCTTTTTGGGCAGATATCTGTTGCACAACAGTCAATCCCACCTTCCGCTGAAGCACATGTTAGTATGATGAGTCATCAAGGTACCACTTCTCACGCATTTGCTGCAAATTCAAATAACACAAGTCCTTGGATTGTGGATTCCGGGGCATCCGACCATATGTCAGGTGATTTAAAGGTTTTTCATACATTCAAACCTTGTACCAATCCCACCACGATCAGAATTGCTGATGGATCCCTCTCTAACGTGATAGGAACAGGATCTGTCAAATTAACTGATGAACTTTTTCTTTCATCTGTTCTCTTTGTTCCTAAATTAAGTTGCAACCTTCTTTCCATCCGTAAACTCACTAGAGACATGAATTGTGTAACTAAATTCTATCCTAAGCTTTGTGAATTTCAGGTTGTGGGCTCGGAGAAGGTGATTGGCAGTGCTGAAATTTGCGATGGTCTCTATATTCTCAAAAACACTCCTGAAAATAAACATTTCCCCAAGTCAAATTATGGTTTCAATTCTGTTTCTGTCTCCAATGAGAGTCTAGTCATGTTGTGGCATTTTCGCCTTGGACATCCAAATTTTGTTTATCTTGAAAAACTGTTTCCTGGTTTATTTATCAATAAAAAACCCAAGTTTTTTCATTGCGAAGTGTGTCAACTTGCAAAACATACTCGAAGCATTTATTCAAGCAATCCTTACAAACCTTCTCAACCTTTTTCGTTGATACATAGTGACATTTGGGGGCCTTTAAGGGTGAAAAATGTTAATGGTTCTAGATGGTTTGTATCCTTCATTGATGACCACACTAGGACCACATGGACTTTCCTCATGAAAGAAAAATCAGAAACTGCATCAATTTTTAAAGCTTTTCATTCCATGATTCAAAATCAGTTCAAACAAAAAGTCAAAGTTTTGAAAACTGATAATGGGACAGAATACTACAACTCAATTCTTGGTCCATACTTGTTAGATCAGGGAATTGTCCATATTAGTTCCTGTGTCAACACCCCTCAACAAAATGGAGTGGCTGAGAGAAAAAATAGGCATCTCCTTGAAGTCTCTCGGTCCATCATGTTTTCAAATCATGTGCCTAAACACTTTTGGGGGGAAGCTGTACGCCTGTACTTACTGCCACTTACCTCATAAACCGTATGCCTAGTAGTGTCTTAAAGTTCAAGACACCACGATCTTTGTTATTACAAGCATTCCCTCACCTCTCAGTTTTTTCCTCGGAATTGCCACTCAAAATTTTTGGTTGTACTGCTTTTGTCCATATCTATGATCACAAAAGAACAAAACTTGACCCCAAATCACACAGATGCATCTTCATTGGGTATTCTAATACTCAAAAGGGGTACAAATGTTACTCTCCAGTCACAAAAAGAGTTTATCATACTTTGGATGTCACTTTTTTTGAACACCAATCATTCTTTCCCAAATCTGGTATTCAGGGGGAGCATTTGAGCGAATATCAACTTTGGGAAACACTTCAAGATAATCAGGCTACCTTTCCCTCACCTAATGTCCTACCATACCACCATCAACCTACTCCAACTCAACCTGATTTATCACCTACATCATCCAATTCTCTATTACCTCTTTCATCAGATGTGACTCCAGAAAACATGGTCAATCACCCGCCATCCTCTCTTCCTACAATCAACCCATCTTCGCCTCTAATAAACAACCATCCATCCTCAGAAAACACTCTACCAAATTCACCTCCTCAAGCACCAGAACTCCGTGTTTATAGAAGGAGAAAACTTCAAAATATAGAGGCTAACATGCAAAGCCAGGACTGTTCAAACACACATTCGAGCTTACTTGACCTTGAAAATCATGAAGGTAAGGACTCTATGACCCATGAGTTGGTATCTACTACTATTGATGATCTTGATTTGCCTATTGCTCAACGAAAGGGTGTTAGAACATGCACTAGTCACCCAATAGAAAGGTATGTTGCTTATGGGAAATTAACTCCTATGTATCGAGCCTTTGTTGCCTCTCTTGATCTTGTCAATGAGGAAATAAATGCTCTTGAGAAGAATGGTACATGGCGTCTTGTTGAGTTACCTCAAGGAAAACATGCAGTTGGATGTAAGTGGATTTTCACTGTCAAGTATAATTCAGATGGGAGTATCAACAGATTCAAGGCTCGGTTGGTTGCCAAGGGGTTCACTCAATCATATGGTGTTGACTATCAAGAGACCTTTGCTCCTGTTGCCAAACTCAATACAGTAAGAGTTCTGTTATCACTTGCTGTGAATTGTGATTGGCCTTTATATCAGCTGGATGTAAAAAATGCATTCTTAAATGGAGAATTGGAAGAAGAAGTTTATATGGAAATTCCACCAGGTTTGAAAAAGAACTCCAATGGACGACTGGTATGCAAACTACAAAAATCTCTCTATGGCTTAAAACAATCACCTCGGGCATGGTTTGATAGGTTTGCAAAGTCAATTGTAAAATTTGGATACACTCAGTGTCAAGCTGATCATACCCTGTTTGTTAAAATCTCTTCAACAGGAAAGCTAGCAATTCTCATTGTCTATGTGGATGACATAATCCTAACTGGAGATGATTCAGGTGAGATTTCAAACCTCAAGAAGTTTCTTGCATCAGAATTTGAGATCAAAGATCTAGGATTCCTCAAATACTTTCTTGGATGGAGGTAGCTCGATCTAAGGAAGGGATTGTTATATCTCAACGAAAGTACATCCTAGATCTTCTAAACGAAACTGGAATGCTTGGAAGTAAGCCAGCAGATACTCCAATGGACCCTAACTTAAAAACAAATCGGAGTGGGGAACCAATTCCAGTAGAGAGGGGGAGTTATCAAAGATTAGTGGGAAAACTAATTTATCTCTCCCACACTAGACCTGATATTGCTTTCTCTGTTAGTGTTGTAAGTCAACATATGCATAACCCTAATGAGGAGCATTTGGAAGCTGTTTATCGTATTCTAAGGTATCTCAAAATGACACCAGGTCTTGGTTTGCACTTCAGAAAACATGACAACCGAGACCTAGAAGTTTACACGGATTCTAGTTGGGCGGGAGAGTTGACTGATAGACGATCGATTAGTGGTTACTGTACCTATGTATGGGGAAATCTAGTCACTTGGCGCAGCAAAAAACAGTCAGTTGTCTCTCGGAGTAGTGCAGAATCAGAATACCGTGCACTGGCATTAGGTATATGTGAGGGGATGTGGATTAAAAGGTTGTTGAATGAGTTGAAAATTGAAGCTCCTACATCTTTCAAATTGTACAGTGATAGTCAAGCTGCCATCAGCATTGCTAAGAACCCGGTTCATCACGATAGAACAAAGCACGTTGAAATAGACAGGCACTTCATTTATGAGAAGGTGAATTCGAGGATCATTGAACTCAACTACATTCCTACAAAGAAACAGATTGCCGACATCCTTACGAAGGCTCTACCTAGAAGGAACTTTGAAGAATTCAATTCCAAGCTGGGCTTGTATAATATATACAACTCAGCTTGAGGGGGAGTGTGGAAATATTAGAATTGATATGTGAAAATATTTGATTGATATGCATATATTCTTAGGATTTGTAATTAGTGATATGATTTTATTCTTTCCTAGTTTAGTGATTCTTTTTATTTACATTCCCTGATTATAGGATTCTCTTCCCTATAATCAATCTTCTTCTTTGTATAAATTAGGACTTGTATTTTCCAATTGAAATGAAGAACTATTCAGAATTTCTTACATATATATATGCCAAAAAACTTGTACATCAAATATCAATCAGCAATGGATTCACAAGAAAGACCGCATGTAACTCCCACATCCATAATACTTTACTGAAGTAGCAATATATTCAGATAAGTTTACAGGACATCAGTGATGTCTACCAATGAAAAAGCACACATCAGAACATACATAAAACCAAATTATCATATTACCCAACAATTTCTTCAAAACGGTTCAAAAAATAAATAAATAGGAGTTGACTCACCGAAGCCCAACATCTTCATGATCAAAACCGCGTGGGACAATCTTGTCTTTTTGCACAAAATCAGCGCCAACCCCATCATTAAGAACGCCATCACCATGGTTACGAACTTCAATGCAGATCTCAGACAACAATTTCTTCAGTTCTTCAAGCTTCTCTCCACCTACACCATCTGCGCCGTCCACAATCACTTTGTCATTCCCAAAATTACTCTGATCTCTTTGGGGTGTCAAATCCATCAAACACCTACACAATCAGGTAAAAGTGCATAAAATTAATATTTTTCATTAAAACATGTCAGATGAAGAATGAAATTTTCTATCTTTCTCAGCATAAATCAACCTGAAAGAGCTCGCAAGTTGATCAAAGTAACTACATTCAGATGCTTCCAAGCCTTTGTTTTTGGCACGGACCATCCAATGGAGTTGTGGGGTTGTCACCACTCCTACATCTTTGGCAATGGCTCCCACAATTGATGCAACTCCCTTAAATTAGGTTGAAATAGAAATAGTTTATTATTATACTATAGAAGGGTAAAGGTGTAAAGATAAATGATATGAAGCCCAATCAATGATCATAGTGAAGTTGACTAACATGTTGCAAGATACATTTCTGCTTTCTAAAACATGTAGGTTGTAGCTTTTGCATGCCTGTGATGTACAAGTATGCCCTTGAGAGGCAGAGGACACCAAAAGTAGAGAGAGAGAGTACTTGGGTCTATAATGCATGAAAGCTTAATTGTGATAGTCAAAATAGAAGGCTCATATGTCTTCACTAGAGGAACATTGTCTTATCCAGAAAAAGAAATGCACGCGCACACCATAAATGCAACTACACCACTGAGGGTTCCATGCAAAGGATGGCGGGTGCAAATTTTTGTTGTGGCTTTTGAAGGCATAGCAATAGTAGAACAGCTTTCAGCTAGATTACATTGCATTTATGCACTACAAAGAGGTCAAAGGTTATAATAAGGATAAGCCATACTTGCTTTGCAGCCTCAAGGAGACGCTCTCCACTGGGCCTCGTGTCTCTCCCCAGTAATACCACTGCTTCCTGTTTTCCATTAAGCGTAATGTTTTCCTTCTTCACAAAATCAACTATAAACTGTGTCAAAAAAACCAAGAGTTTGTTTTAGAAAACAAAACTGAAAATCATAAACCAAGCATACAGTTTCGCAGAATCATAGAAACATTTTGTCTCAGTATATAGTAATAGAAATTTAAACAAATGGAAATAACATTAAGAAAGTGAGAGAACTGCTTTTCAAAATAAAATTTCTAAACAATAATGAAAACCAATTATTTTTCTCAATTTTTTTGGTCACACATACACAATGAAAAAGGACTCCTCATCTCTCCCCTCCTTTTTCAACTTTGTTTTGTTAGTCTTTCCTATTCTTCAGCTTCCTACTCTATCTACACAACACTCCATTTACAAGTTTTGATATAAACCACCAACTACCTGTTTTCTATTGATCAATGCTTAAGAACTAAACATGATTCAAAACTAAATGAAATTTCTGAAAATAGAGAGTTTTCATTATGAAACCTCAAGAAGTGAACTAGGATTTGGGGCATTAGCAAGCTGGTTGGCAAAGGGCTCCCATTCTTGAGTCAACATTCCACCGCTTGGGTCAGCCACTTTGACTCCATTATCAGAGACCTTGTTGTGAGACGCAGTGATCATTAGGCCAATCACTGACCCAGTCTTGAGCGACCTCAGTGCAGCCAGTATCCCCACCCGGAAGACCATTGATTCAAGTACTGACGAATCAGCTCTGAACCCTGATGTTCCATATGATAGTTTTACTCCTGTTCAAAGATTCTAACATTAACATCCAAAAAAAATATAATTAATTTACTGAAGAAGAAATTTAACTGAAGTTGGAAAGAAAACTTCAACCTTTGGGAGGTGGAAAACAAGCTGCGGATTCAAGGAGAAGTGAGCTCTGTTGCTCATCCATTACCAGTCTGACTCTTCAAACGGAGAGAGAGCTTCTTTGGTTTTTATTCTCAAGTTCTGATTCATGCCAAAAAGAAGAAGAATATGCCAATTGTTTGAAAAATAGTCGAGGGTACAGGCACTGAGCAAGAAAGTGCCCAGTGAGTAATAAAATATACAATTATCAGTAATTCAGTACGTCCTAATATTTCATATAAGGCAATCAAAATCATAAAAAGAAGTAAAGCTAGCTGAATTTGAACATAAGTATATCAGGATCCGTATGAGATCTATAGCATTAGCCTAGAGAATGTAGAATGCAAAAATTAGCATTACAGTGACACAAGATCAGAAAGGTAAACTCCAAAGTCCAAACAGTAAACCAAAAATGTTTGAAGGTTAGCTTTTCCAAAATTTGTAGAAGCCATGGAAAGTTTAATTGATTTCTTGTTACCCCAATGTGCAAAACAATTATAATGAGGTTTACTTGTTAACGTCTTAAATTTTTCACAAAGTTTCAACAATTATCGATCCAATTACAGTTGACAACAATAAAGGAAATATTCCAACAAAGAAGTTGCGTGTCACCCAGTCAGAAAATCAGCTTTGATTAGCAATATTGGAAAAACTGAGACAAAATGAAGGAGAATTGAGGCACATTGGAACAAAGATGAGCAAATTTTTCTAGCTCTCAACAATCATAAGAAACTAATCAGAGTCCTTCCCAATTGAAATGCTTTGCTAACACATCAAAGATCAAAATAAGTACATGAAGCTAAGCAATCTCAGTCAGAAAGACAACTCGTGGATCATGACAATCAGAATTTGATACCGAGCCATAACAAATGGGAAGCCACGCGCCCTTACAAAACAACTACTGCGAGAGCCTTTCAGCCAGAGAGTCCCATGCCACCTTTCGTGAACAGCTATGCCCGAGAGGCCAATTCTTCCTGAAAGCCGGGCATTCTCAAGCAGCCTCTATGGAAAGAGGGGATGATACGTGGTATACCTTGATCGTTTAGTCAACCATGGGATGGCTTGAGGGGCATCCTCCGAAATTCTCCCGAACAGCCTTTGAAGATGATGTTACGCGGCGTTCAGAACCAGTCTTGAAGTTAATGAATTAGAAAAGAAGAAGTAAGGAAATGAGAACATAGTAATGGAGAAGGTAATTGCCAAAATAGGATTCGTTTTGGCCCCCCCTTCTCCCATGCTGAGTCACAGGCAGCGCCTCGGATCCTCCCTCTAAAATAAGTAATTTAGGTGGCTGAAACCAAATGTTATCATTCCTTCACAAGGCAATCCTTTAGTAGTTTCATTCCAAAAAAATGATTTAAAGAAAATAGAATAAATCAAACGAAAATGAAATAGACAACGGGTCAAATACCGCAAAAACTAGGGTAGAAATAAGCCAGGCCGGGCCGGGCTAAGCCTTGACAAATTAGGCATGGACCTGTTATGAAATCCAAAAGTATGGGCCTAGGCCTAAGCCTATGAGTAGGCTTTTGTTTAAACCCAAGCTTGCGCCTACAATAGGCATGGCTTGAAGCCTCTTTAAAGGCCTATTTATTAAATAGGCGTTTAAAAAGACTTCAAAGATAGGCTTTAATAGGCTTTGAGCGTATTAAAGGTCTACACATTATAGGCTTTAAACAAGCTTTTAAGCCTTTTTAAAGGCCTACATATTTGTAAAAAATAAAAAATAAACCTAATACTACAACAGAACATATTACATAACATGATAACTAGTCCAATACTTCAATACAAAACTAGTAGATAACCACAAATCAATAAGTCCAAAATACAAAAATTTAACAACACAAATTCAATACAATGTCCAGAATTACATTGCCCAAAATATAAAAATCTAACAAGTAACAACACAAGTCTGGAAGCTAGAGATATTCTGAATATATGAGACGAAAGGTGCACATCTCCATGAAGTTGAGCAACATTCATGTGATGATTAAATGGTCAAAACTATGAGGCATAAGACTCGCACTAATCATAGGGTTAGGGTATGAGCAAAAGGTAAGGACTAAGGAATAACTTACAATTGAATGACCCACAAGTTCCATTTGGGAATTGGTTGAGTTGCTCACATAGAGCAATAGGTGCTGAAGATGCAGCATGTTTGAGATGTTAGTGATCTTGACCATATTTTTCATTTGATCCTAAAAGGTGAAAAAATGGTGTCCAACATCCATGGTTACATAATATAGATACTACTTATAGATGCTCACATAAATGCCGACACATAAGATGACTTTTGAATGGGCAAAAATCTATCATATCCTTTCATAGAGCAAATTTCAAAAAACTGAAGCATCCATGTCAAACTTGGCCCGATAATTTCAATTATCACAGCAACAGACCACTCCCACCAGACAAACATGATAGGCTTTGACAAAAATGGAATTTATCTTTTTGCATTTCCTCTCATTTTAAGTGAAACTAGTGATTTACATTAAAGAGGACATATTCTCATTCCAAAGTCTCGAATTTCCTTTGAGTTTATCAATTACTAATGATATTGAGACGCAAAAACACATGCCAATAAATCAACAAAAACAAATTTCATATATCAGATTAACAAAATTGCATGACAGCATTAATTTCATCTAAACACAATACACACAGCAAACAATACAAGAAGTCAACAGTACCACACTGAAAAACACACAGGCACATATTTAAATCGGCAAATTTTACTGTGGACCATGGTCCAAGTAGCAGCATGGACCGGACCATAAAGCAAAACAACATCGTATCATTTTAATTACACTTCAGTTTCATTTGACAATAATGCTCTGTTTTTTAGTTTCATTTTCTACACACACTAGTTTCATTATAGCAACACTAAAGTATCATTTTAATTCTAGTACAATTTCATTTAACATTATACGTTATTGCATTAGCTCTATTATTTCAGTTTCATTTTCTATACACACTACAGTAACGATGAATTAGTGTCACACATGACATCTTTTTGCTGAAAGGAAACCCCACTTTCCTTTTGCATTATAAGGAACTATTTTCGTGAAATTTTATATAAAACATTTTTCCTTTGACTTTAGTATTAGTTCAATAGAAGCCATAGAACACATACATGTGATTATGTGAATAGTAACAATAAAAATTCAATAGCTTTGTGTGAATCACTATTAGTCTTGTCTATAACTTTCAACAATGTCATTAGCTTTCACCCCTTCAATTGAAACATGTGCTCCATCTCAACTAAAAGCTTAAGCTAATAGTTGGATACACATTAATGGATATATGCTCACACGCCCCCTCACGTGTACGGTGGATTCCAACCAACACGTGGACCGGTAAACCGTAGTCGCTTATGAGTGGCGTTGAGATTCGAACCCATGACCTTTGGTCTGGCTCTGATACCAAATTGAAACATGTGCTCCATCTCAACTAAAAGCTTAAGCTAATAGTTGGATACACATTAATGGATATATGCTCACACCTTCATTGACATAATTCACTACTAATAAGAATTCAAATTTAGACAAGTCAACTAATCCTCATATAACCTTTTGATTCATGGCTAACATTAGCACCTTCAAGAGGGGTGAGCAAATGGTCAGTTGATTACATAACCGACCAAAGTAAATGCTATAACCGACCGTCAGTTTCAGTCGGTTATGTCGGTTACGGAAAAACCGAGCAGTTATACTGGTTAAAAACTTAAGCATACAATGATACAAACACAGTAATATGCTGTTTGAAAATTTACACACTAGAGACTCTAGAATTAATTTTTTTCAAACACAGTAACTGCATTGGTTATTTCTCAAAAATTTACATAAAATATTAATGAACAATTAAAGAAAACTTAAAATTTTCAAACACAATAACACACTGTCCAGACTCCAGAATTAATTTTCAAACATTAACAACAAAGCCTAGTGAGCAGTGAGCAAGATACGATTTTGTATGAAATATGTACAAATTTAATGTATGAAATCCAGAGAGGGTCGCAACATGTAATGTATGAAATGCATTTTAATTTTAATATGTAAAAAATAAAAATTTACTTTGAGCCTCGGAGTTACAGTGACTCAATGAAGCAAAGCCGTAGAGGGCTGACTGGCTGAAGGGCGAGGCTGAGGTGAGGTCCGCAGAGCCGCTGAGTGCCTGAGTCCCGTACCGTACGGTCGCAGCTGGGACAGCTAAGTCGATGAAGTGAGGTCTATCTGAGGATGTGAGGATGTGAGGACTGAGGAGCGATGGCGGAGGGAGTGAGGGAGCGACCGACTGACCAGAGACCAGAGTGTCGCCGAGCCCGGGAAGGGAATAAGGAATTAGGGTTTAGGGCTATGCTATTTGAGTTCTACTACATTTACTTTCAAATTTTACCCCTTCATTCTTATTCTTTAAATTTTACCCCTTTATTTTTCTTCTTTAATTTGACAAAAAATGATATGGTATTGTTATTACTTATTACTAGTAATTGTCCCGTGAGATGCACGAACTATTATTAATTTAATAAATGGGAAAATGACACCTTTTTCCCCTGTGTTATATACCTATAGCATTTTTTTCCCCTAAATTATTGAAGTGACTGTTTTTCCCCCTGAAATGTTAAATGGACATATTTACCCTTAAATTAAATATTTAATTTATTTTTTTCTCCAACAAATTGTGACCATAATTTGGATCAAACCAAACAAACACTATAGCAACCAAACTGAAATATTTCAATTACAATTTAGAATCGAAATTCGATATTTAGAGTTTATTAAAATCGTGAACCGGAACGGACGGTTCATGTTCCAAACTGAGAAAATAAAATACATTTATTGTTGAATTTATACTATTTTAAAATAAAAAATAAGATTTTAAAATAAAGACGGTTCAAAATCGCGAATCGAATCCGGAACCGCCGGTTCACGGTTCAAGATTCAATTTTTTTGATACATAATTTTAATAAATTGACATTTAAATATTGGGTTCTAGATTTGAATTATAACCGAAAACTATTAATTCGATTGCTTTAGTATCCGGTTCAATTCAAACCGATCCGTGGTCATCTCTACGTATACGCAATAATTTGTTGGAGTAGTAAAATAAATAAAATGTTTACTTTAAGGGTATAAATGTCAATTTAATATATCATGGGGAAAAAGCACCACTTTTAGAATAATTGAGGGAGCTAATGTGCTTACCTAAATAATTGAAGGGGAAAAAGTGCTATAAGTATATAACTCAGGGGCAAAAAGTACCATTTTCCCTTTAATAAATTTACCAATTAAATTTTTGACATCATCTTAATTAGCAAAGAAAGTAATGGTTGTAGAAACAGAAAAAACGCACTTGAGTTTTTGAGCTCATAATTAATTTGATTAAAAATGTAAGTATAATTGTACAATGTAATATTTAATATTTTAAAAAATTTAATTATGTTTTTATTATGTTGGTTTTAAAGTTTATTGTTACTTGTATTATTATTTAAATTTGATTTTTTTTTTGAATGGAATTTGAATTTGAAATAACTACTTTAATTATATAACTAACGTATTTAAATAAAACTTGTAAATAAAATAACAAGCAATATTAGTCGAAAATCTCCACACAATTAATGCATTCATACTTGCTAATCTTGTTTCTATTAAAATGCATTCACACTTTGGTGGAAAAATTTTGTGGCAAGATTCTGTTTTATTATATATAATATATATAATATATACTAGTTTTTTACGCGCATTGCGCGATTGGGATAATGCCCAATATTTTTTTTTTTAAATAAGTACTTTAAAGTATATCAAGGCAAGATCATATTAGAATTGTTCATGCATAGATAATTGAATGTTGAATTTGTGTATTTAAATATCTAATTCTAAGTTTACAAATGCAAGATAATATAGTCAAGATTGATTATAATTGTCAATAAAATAATTGTATAGGTATGGTTGAAACCAAATACGGACATAAGGGAGAGCAAATAAAAAGTAGGACATAAAATATTAAATATATACTATTATTGAAGAGCTAACTGTTAATTGCCAAACAAGGACCTTGCGAGGTAGTTTCCCACTTCAATTTGTTATGTGATTTGAATACTCTTTTTGTCAATAAATCCCCCAAGTAGTTTTTTTTTTAAAGCCAACCAAAGAATGATTGTATTAACGAATCAAAGCTGCAATGCAGTCAGGGGGGATATAATCCCAGTACATAGCTTGATCCTGAATAAAAGCTAACGAAGCTAGTGTATGCGCATGCGAATTAATCTGCCTAGAGACATAATTTAACGAGACATAATTAAACGAAGAAATTAAACTCCTACATTAGTCCACTATGACTCCAACATAGGACATTATATTGGTTGATTCCTGTCGTATAGCATTCCTTAACTGTATACAGTCTGTGAGAAGGGAGACCGCTGTTGTATTTTTTTCTAGTAGCCAGGATAGAGCTTCATTACATGCCAAAGTCTCCGCCATAAACGGCGACAAGCAACTCGGGAGTCTTCCGTTTTTTGCAGCCAAAAAGGACCCTTCGGGAGATAACAACACTATGCCATATGTAGCCTCCCCCGTGCATTCTCAGTAGCCAGCATCTACAAAGCATCGTGGCATGGCGTCTTCCCCGCTATCCTCCGTAGCAGCCGGGGTCGCAGGTGGGCAGCGGCGTGCAATCTGCCGGAACGACTGCAGCGCCGCCGTGGCTTGTCTCCATGCTGCCGTAGGGTGAGGGAGGGCGGCATCCCACACGGCGGAATTTCTGCACCTCCATAGACGGTAGAGCAGTGCCACTACGGCTCCACTTTGATCCTCTGTTAACATTGTAAGCACAACTGTTAGCCACTCGGGGAAAGAGTTGACAACAATATTTGTTACAGGCAGTCCTGAAATATTATAAACATGTCTAGAATAATCACAAGTAATCAATGAATGCATCACATCTTCATGAGCCACCCCACACATTTGGCATGTGGGATCCACTTCAACTCTCTTTATAATCAAATTATTAGTTGTAGGAAGAACATCACAAATTGCTCTCCACAAAAAAGTCTTCCATTTTGGAGGTGGTACCTTCATCCCCACATTGTAGTCCATTTTTCAAAATCCCCTAGTGAGTGGTTATAAATCCCCATAATGTTCCTATAGGCATTCTTAACTGTATAAACACCATTAGGGTCATCAGGCCAGTACCATGAGTCCTCATATCCCGGACTTGCAGGAATCCTCAGTATCCTATCCACATCTTCCTCATCAAATAAATCTGTTAAAATATGTGGATCCCAGGTAGCAGTCTGCTCATCTATCAAACCTACTACCTTAGCATGCCTGAGCTCTACTGGCATGCTAGGATTATCAGGTAACCATGGGTGTCCCCAGATTAATGTCGTTTTACCATCCCCAATTCTCCTCCGTACTTGTGCCACTACCATATCATGGGCTGCCATAATACTCCTCCATGAGTAGCTTGGGCATCCTCCTACTTTAGCATCAATAAAAGAGGTAGTCGGATAGTACCGAGCCTTATAGACCTTTGCAACAAGGGAATCTGGACTTGTGAGTAGCCGCCATGCTTGTTTCCCCAACATAGCCACATTAAAACCCATGAGATCTTTAAACCCCATTCCCCCAAATTTCTTTGGGATACTCAGCTTATCCCAGGCTTTCCAGTGTATTCCCTTGTCTACACCAGTACCCCACCAATACTTATTCATTGTTCTTTGAATTGATACGCACACTGTGTCTGGGATCAAGAAAACACTCATCGAAAAGGTAGGCATGGATTGTGCCACACTTTTCAATAGAATTTCCTTCCCTGCATGTGATAGAAACTTCTTGTTCCATGAGCAAATTCTCTGTTTTATCTTATCTTCAATATATGAGAACACTGCCCTTTTATTCCTTCCTACAAACGATGGTAAACCCAGATATTTCCCAAAATTGGGTGCCTGATCTACCTGCAAACAAGTTGTCACCACTGCACTGTCCTCCACACTGGTATTCCTACTAAAACAGATACTGGACTTGTGATAATTCACCTTTTGTCCTGACAACTCCTCATATCGCCCTAGACACTGTTTAATTACTCCCGCCTCCTGATCATTTGCTTTAAAGAAGAATAGGCTATCATCCGCAAAAAATAAATGTGATATCTGTGGCGCTCCCCTTGCCACTCTACATCCATGTATAGAGCCAGCCATCTGAGCTCTCTGTAACAGCATAGATAGTCCCTCAGCACAAATGATAAACAAATATGGAGACAAAGGATCTCCCTGTCTTAACCCCCTGGTCGGCGTTATTCCACCACTAGCAACACCATTAATCAGGATGTTATACTGAACAGTAGTGACACACTGCATTAATAAATTAATCCAGCGGTCATCATAACCCATTAACTCCAACATCCTCCTCAAGAACTGCCATTCCATCCTATCATATGCCTTTGCCATATCTAATTTCAAAGCTGCCCAGCCTTTCTGACCACACTGCTTTCTATTTAAATAGTGCCCCACCTCTACAGCTATAAGAATATTATCAGTAATAAGCCTCCCATTTAAATAGTGCCCCACCTCTGCAGCTATAAGAATATTATCAGTAATAAGCCTCCCAGGAATAAAAGCACTCTGTGCCTCCGAGATGAGGTCCCCCATAAGTGGTTTCATCCTATTGGCTATTACATTTGCCATAATCCTGTACAACACATTACTCAGAGCTATTGGTCTCATATCGGATACTGTCTCAGGCACATTCTTCTTTGGAATCAAAATCACATTCGTGTCATTCAATCCCTCAGGGAGTGAACCCGTGTTTAAGCAATTCACAATAAATTCAGACACATCCCCACCAACAATTTCCCAATATTCTTGGTAGAAACCAGGATTCATACCATCTGGTCCTGGCGCTTTCTCTGGGAACATTGCAAACAAAGCACACCTGACCTCCTCAATCTCAAAAGGGCGGAGCAACGCAGTATTTTGTTCATTATTTACACGGGGAGTAAAATCATCAAACATGGGATCCTCACATTAAGAACTTGAAGATGTAAAAATAGCTGCATAATAATCCAATACAACCTTCTTCATATTATCCCCATCTACCCAGATACCCACATCATTTTTAAATCTAGAAATATAATTTTTCCTTCTACGGGCAGAAGCATACCTGTGGTAAAATTTTGTATTGTAATCCGCACCATGAAGCCAGTGCTACTTAACCCGTTGCCTCCAAAACACATCCTCCTTTACTTCTAACTGGCCCAGCCTTTCCTCGAGATGGCGAAATTCAGCCAATGCAGCCGAATCCCGCCTATGGCGCAGCGCATCCTGCTCTCTTCTCAGCTGCTTTATGCGGTCACCAAACTTATGCCAATGTTCCCCACCCCATCGCATGAGCCTCCCTCCACAATGTTGCTGACAAATCAACAACCCCCTATCCCTTCCATCCTGCCAGGCAGTCTCCACCACATCCCTACAACCCTCATCATGAACCCATGCCATCTCAAAACGAAACCATCTCGGTCCCTCCTGCCTGCGCACCACAGCAATGTCGGTGTTTAGGAAGAGATCCGAGTGATCAGATTTCCGAGTGAGAATATTTTCAACCCATGCCTCATCATGCAAGTCAGTCCATTGTGTTGTTACCAACACCTTATCCAGCCTCTCCTCCAACCACCTCTCAGTTCCCTTCCCCTTCTCCCATGTAAACTGGTGTCCTCTCATTGGCAATTGGAAGAGGCCACAGCTGTGTACTGTGTCCCCAAAACCCCTGAGAAGACTTACTGGATGTGGGTTCCCCCATCTCTTCTCATGCTGATATAACAAATCATTAAAATCTCCCACTACCACCTAGGGTAATGTAGATTTTTCCTTCAAACCACTCAACAGCTGCCAGGCCTCCCTTCGCCTATGCCTTTGCGGGAATCCATAAAAGCACGTCATACGCCATATCTTCTCCCTTATAACTACCTCCACATCCACATGATTTTTTGAATAACCCAACAGCCTAACAGTATTGTTCTTTCTCCACAATAATGCTAAGTCACCCCCCTCCCCTCACTATCGACATAAAACAGGCCCTCAAATCCAATCTTAATACGTAATCTCTCTGCATGACTTCGCTCTACTTTAGTTTCCATCAAGTAGACGAAATCGGGCTTCTTACGGGATACCATGTCCACCACTTCTCGAACTGTCCGTGGATTGCCCAAGCCACGACAGTTCCAACTTATCGTACTCATTATGGTGGGCAGACCTGACCACCAGGACCTGCCGTAAACCCGTTTTTTGATAGCTCTGCCATAATCACATCTCCCTCACCCCTCCTCGGACCACCACCTCCGCCGTCCACCCCATCCCCCCTCCTCCTCTTAGAAGCCGCAACTACCACCCCCTCACCCGCCCTCACCTCCCCAAGCCGCACATACCCCACACCTCCTGTCCCCCCATCCCCCGTACTCCTCCCCCTCTCCTCACATCCCGCCACCCCTTCCCCTTCCCTTCAAGTGGTATTAACCATGGCTCCCCCACCTGCCTCGGTCCCCGGCTACCTCCCCCCGCCTTCAGGTCCGCCGTGTACGGGAACTTGTCCGGGTTAATTCAGATTTCCTCGCAAGCTTACAAAACTTATAGGCATGTCCCAACAAACCACAATAAAAGCAAAAGTTATGTAATCGTTCATACCGGAAATTCACCCAACATCTTGTTTTATCCCGCTTAATAAGCTTCATCCTTCGTTTTAGCGGCTTGTCTACCGGAATTGAGACCCGGACCTGGTGAAACGTCTTCCACGGTGCCCCTGGGTAACGATCATTGACCTTAACAAACGAGCCAATAAAATTGGCAGCTTGTTCAAGAACCGCCTCCGAAGTATATCCCAACGGTAAGTCATAGAGTTGCACCCACACATCCACATATTTTAACTCAACCGCTGCCGGCCGAGCACCCGCTTCCACATGTCTGCACACGAGGGTGCTATTATCAAACGACCAGGGCCCTTCATCAAGAACTCTCTGCATATCGGTCTCATCATAGAAGATAAACGTAAAAAATCCCGGTTGAATCTCCGTAGCCTGCATACCCCACACCGGTTGCCAAACAGAGGCCATAACCTGCCTCATATACTCCAATTTCACTACCTTGGATGTCAAGAACCGGCCGACACACACCCACCGCCGCTCCTCCTCTTCCGCAACCACACCAACCTCCTCCCCCACCGGTTCAAACCCCACCTCTTCCTCTTCCTCCAAAGCTATATCCGCCCACCGTTGGGTGAGCCGCTCGACCACCTCGTCCGCCCGTTCGAGTGCCGGGAGGCCGTCTGCCTACTCGACGCCATCAGCCGTACTGTCGCACGAAGCTCTGTCGCCGTCACCTTCGCCGAGCAGTGATATCTCACGTGAAGAAAGCTGGAAAATCTCCAGAAACCCTAGTAAACCCTAGGAAAAAACCGGAGCTCTAGAGAGAGTTCTAGAGAGAAAAAAGTCTTCCTAAACGGACTTGATTATGAGGATAATGGCCCCCCAAGTAGTTAATATGATTGACTTAACCCGATTGTATATATTTCATGTTTAAACATTTTGTTTTCAAAGTTCTAATTTCTAATTAGCTAAGAAACATATTATGCAAACAAGTTGTAGCAAAGTAGAACATTTAGATTAATAAAAGTTCTAAAACGAACACATGAAAAATGTCCCAAAAATTAAGATTAAAAAAGGTCATATGCCTCAAATCATTGAACAAGAGTAAGTAGAATAATATAAATTCAAGAAAAATAGAAAAGATAGAAAGGGTGACGCTTAAAGTATGAGATGGACACAAAGGAGAATGACAAATAAGTCAAGAAGTTGTGGATAGAAATGATAAGTACCATAGGCTCCTATACGATTATAGCAACCATACAAATGGTTTTTCAATGATTTTTTTCAGATTAAAAAATCAAAGATGGTTTTTTGTTGATGTAAGCATTGGTTTTTAGGTTGAATTTTTCTCTTGCTATGTTAAGTTTTTTGTAGGTTCCAAATAAGAGGAAGATGCTAGTAGAATGCTCAGATTTTGTGCGTTGTTTGTGGTCATTTTTTTAAAAATTCCCGTCAGATGAATCAAATCTTTTTTTTTTTCCTTCTTCTCTTTGTTTCCTCCCTCTCCTTGTTAACTCATAAAAAACTGTGAAGTGGTTGCTCGTAAGATAAACCAGCGTTGCAATCACCATTCCAGTTGTAGTCCGTCCGCGTCCCATTTGGCAATTAAACACTATTTCTATCTTTATATCAGCTTGAGACACTTTATGACCCTGGAAGTTTGAAGCCATGTATTAAAATGGAAGAATATATTCAGTTGATGGCGTGATATTCCCATTCAAAACAAAAATAGGTACAAAGAAAAGACTGCTTCACAAATAAAATTGGGAATGTTTTGTAAAAAGGAGTTCAACAAAAAGTAAATTTATGGCTTCCACTCTTTTCAATACCAATACAAAAAGTTGCCCGCATGGGCAACTCAGTTGGTCATAGGAGTGAAGTTTGAGAAGAACCAATACAAAAAGTTAAGGTAACAAATATATATATATATATATATATATATATATATATATATATATATATATATATATATATATGCTACACTATCATACCTTATTTAGAAAAAAAAAATACTAATAATAAAGATTCAGTTGATGTATTTTGGCTTTTAATGAATAAAACCTTAGCATTAAAAACGATATTATGCTTCCATAATGAAACAAATATGTGGTAGGGATAGTATATATAAACAAAGCTCATACCTGGTCATTCTTGGTTTCCTCCTTCCATACTGCTACATCTATATGAAAATTATTCCACAAAGAATACATAATAAACCTCAAATAAAACGGTAAATAAACTTGAAAAGTGTAAGGACATTAAACCAAAAGGATTGATAGGGATACAAACCAAAATATCAAAATCCATCTCTTTGGGTGACTTTTCATCTGTTATAGGAATACGCTCATAGTCAACAAGGTACTCATGTGATTGCAGCTCCTCATACACCTTTGACTGGAGAAAAATTATTAAAGTGGAGACAAGATGAATAGTCAGACACCAGTAACATTTTTTACATTGAAAATTTGAATAAAATGTATAATGTCAAACCTCCAATGGTGTTTTCACCAAATCTTATGTCATCTGGCCATCAGGGAGCTGAGTTCATCAGTTACACGGATCTTATTTCCGTATCTGTTAATTAAATGTCTAGACTTTAGTATAAGTTTGAAATCAGGTATGAAATTACATGTACCAAAGTTGGGCAAAAAATTAAAGGAGTAAGCTAGATAAAGAATATAGGGGAAAACCTTGCAGCCTAGATCTATCAGAACATCTTCTTTCAGCCGATCCTCCATTTGCTCCACCCTCACCTTGTTAATGCCCTAGCTTAATACAAAAGTATGAGCTCCATTTAACAAGATATATACAAACAGAGATGAGATAAAACAAACATGCAATTGGAGCTTGACAGATGACTTCAGTGGCAAGACAAGAAAATTGAACCGTACCAGTCTCAACCCACTCTTAAAATTACTGTACATATCTTCCTAGACAATAATTCAAGCATTCTCATAATTAGCAGACTTGATGAATACCACCCATTAATGTACACCGCATGTTTCAGTAGTGGGAAGTGAATAATAATTACACAATATTCCTTGATTGAGCTCCTCCACTAACATATTAAACCAATAAGGAATGAAAATAAAAGATGTTCTTGACATAAAGCGTTACAAATAAATTTTCTGAAACCTAAAATTGGCTTGGAAAAACGATAAAAATATGTAGTCACTGGTTCTTCACGAAGATTAATCCAAAGAAAGCGAGTTTGCTTCTCATCCATCAGAGCTCTAATGTGATCAAGAACATTGCGGATACCATCAACAGTTGGAATAACAACACCATGAACATGCAGAGAATCAGCCTATATTGAGACTTCTTATTAGGGAATTATTAGAAGTCTAACAAAACAAGGAATCTTAAACAATTTCAATAATTAAATTAAATGCCACCAGCAAGATGGCAATATCAACGGAGAATTATACAATTATGAGACTTCTTGTTAGGGAATTATTAGAAGTCTAACAACACAAGAAATCTTAAACAATTTTAATAATTAAATTAAATGCCATCAGCAAGATGGCAATATCAACGGAGAATATTAACAGAGAATTATACAAATTTTAAAGGAGATTATAATGTTTAACGGAAAAGGTTAACGGTGTGTGTGGGTATTTAAGGGAAGAAAATCATATAATTAAGGATAAATTTAAAAATCTTAAGAAAAAATTAAAATCTGATCAATCTGGACCATTCATTTGATTTAAAAATTTGACCGTCATTTTTTCTACCCATTATAGGCCTAACTCTCTTGGGCTCTTATTAGTATAGTAGATAGAAAGAAAGAAAAGATAAATAAGATGTGGATCCTAATAAAAATGAATATATCAAAAATTTTAAGAAAAAAGTATCAAATAGGCCATTGAATTTTACACATTGTGTAATTAAATCATCAAACAAAAAAAAAAAGTGTAATTAGACCATTAAAAATTCAAAAATTGTCCAAATAGCATTCTTTATAAGTTACTCCCAAGTTTTACCCTTCATTCTTATTCTTCAAATTTTACCCTTTCATTTTTATTCTTTAAATTTTACCCCTTCATTTTTCTTCTTTGATTTGACAAAAAATGATAGACTAATGTTATTATGTGGGTTTCAATAAAAATGTTTGGTAGGGAATATCCTGACCGACGTAAAGCTTCACCACGACCGATTTGCCTTTGTTTTTCTCTCTTTGTCTTTGCAGGTAGCAGGTCGGGTTTTTTATGAAGAACCCGGTCGGGAAGCGACCGGGAATTGCCCGAGCGTTAGTGTCGACCACCGAGCGGTAGCCTTTTGGCGAGAGAGCTGACAAAGGACACGTGGCGGCTCTTTACGACGACAGACAGGGTACCCGGGAGGATGACACGTGGTGGCTACGTGGAGAACATGCTGAACGGCCGGATCCTTGTCCCCGGCACAGTGGCTATAAATACCCACAGTAGCTACAGTGTAGAGGACTTTTGGACGATCGATAGGTTGTTATTAGAGAATCCCGACCGCAGTCAGTCGGCACTCAGAGCAACCAAGTAGATTGTACTTAGGGCCTTTACCGTGATCAATAAAGTCTTTTACTTGCTTTAATTGGTCTCGGGTTTATTCCATATTGCTTACGTAGAATTAGCAGTATCATTTTGGCGCCGTCTGTGGGGAACCGTGCGAGAAAGCAACGTTTTGATGAGCACCCGCTCCCTTTCCAATCATGTATCCGTGGGCTCAAAACAACTTCGCCGACGACCAGGCGGATGCAGCGAGTTCATCTGGGCACCACGCCACCCAACAGCAAGGTCAGACGGTAGAATTGAATCTCAATCTCTCACCACCGCATCCGTCTAACACATACCCGGTCGCCCAACAACCGGTGAACTACTTACAACCGGGATACCCAATGCCCGGTCAGCCATATCAGCAGCAGCCGATGATGTATTCCGGCCAATATCCATACCCGGTCCCACCTCCGCCGTACGGGTATTGGCCTGGCCAACCGATGTACTACACTCCCCCGGTTGGATATCCACCATATACGCCCGCTTACACAGCTCCAGCCGCCGCCCCTCCAGTACAACCGACCGCACAGGTAGAGCCGCAGCGTCAGTCCGCTTCCCGGGCTCGACGCTCGGCTCATTCGCGGTTGGGGTCGGGGGGTGCTGATGCGATGGAGGCACCAGGGCAGGCCCAGCAAGCGGTCGAGGTTCCCATCCAAGCGGAGGACCCCGAAGAAACTGCCCGAGCGGCAGCTTTTGGACGGCTTCGACCGGAGATGCGCCAGCGTTTGGGACCCCAAGACCCGAACCGCCGGCAAGAAGACGTACAGATGCAGGAGGCCAGCCAGGAGGCCTCATCTGGGTATAGCGGGTCGAGATCTCACCGACAGCGACGCGCTCGGGATACAGCCCAAGCTGCTCAAGCCGTCGAGCTCAACGAGACCTGAGGATTACTCTATAACCTCCAGGCGGAATTTGCGCAATTCAGAAACGCGCACCCTGCAGCAACCCCGGTTGGACAACCGACCCTGCACCAGACGCTTTTCACAGCGACGGTAATGGCTCAGCCTTACCCGCTCGATTTAAAGGTCTCTGGAGAGAAGAGTTATGATGGCCGGACAGACCCAGAGGCTCACGTCAACGATTTCTACAGCAATATGACGCTGAAGGGTGTGTCAGACGCCGTAATGTGCAGGGCTTTCTATTCCACGCTCACCGGTCGAGCGGCGGAGTGGTTCCGAACTTTGCAGCCGGGTTCGATCGACATGTTTGACACCCTGGCGGTCAAGTTTGTGAGGAAGTTTATCACTTCCAAAGTGGTGAGGAAGCCTTATATGTATCTGGAGAAGGCCAAGCAACTTGAAGGCGAGAGCTTGACCGACTTCCTCACCAAATGGAAGGCGGCGGTCGGGGAGGTAGAGCCCATGGATGATGCCACCGCCACCCACATGTTACACATCTCTCTCCGGGCGGGGTATTTATATCAGGACTTCATTTTACACCCCCCGGCCACGTATGAGGAGGCCCTTCGAAGGGTCACAGATTATGCCAATGCTGGAGAGGCGAACGCCGTAAAGCGCTCGCAGGAGGTCGGGTCTTCATCTCGTAAACCGGCCGGCCGGGCGGAACACCGATCGGGTGATGACCATCCCCGATCCCGCACCAGGACTTGTGAGTTTACGGCCTTGAACCGATCTGCAGCGGAGGCCATGCAATATGCTCAGTCTTGCAACCTCATCAAGCTTCCCCATCCCGATCGAGATGGTCCTGACAAGAGTAAGCATTGCGCTTACCACCGATGTGCTGGGCATGACACTGAAGAGTGTACCCACTTGCTCCAACTATTGGAAGATTTGCTCAATCTAGGGAAGTTGGACAAGTGTGTGGGGAGGAGAGAGGACCCCAAGAGGAATACCGATCGGAGAGAACAGCGGCGCTCTCATCACCGCTCCGATCGGTCAGGTCAGGACCGAAGAGATGATCGTCGCGATGACCGACGGGACCCTGACCCTCCGTCTAGCAGCCGACCAGCAGGAAAGCCGACCATCCACGTTATTTTCGGTGGATTGGAAGACGCTTCCCGACCGCGAAGTAATTGCCCGGTCGCTATAGTGGACTCCCGGGAGACCGGGAAGAGGCAAAAGATAGAGCCCATAACCTTCACCTTGGAAGATCAACCCAGCAGCGGTGACCACGGCATGGAGGCGCTCGTGGTCACAATTGATGTGAAAGGGACGGATGTCCAGAGGGTTATGGTCGACACTGGCAGCAGTGTGAACGTCCTTTATTTGGACGTGTTTGAAAAACTTGGACTAGACAGGAAGGAGCTGACTCCGGTCGGTGTACCACTGTCTGGATTTACCGGGGCTCTTATTTACCCCGAGGGAAAGATAACGCTCCCGGTCGAGATCGGCATGGCCCCGAAGTCGATCAAGACGGAGTTAGAATTCGTTGTGGTCAACCTCCATTGCGTCCACAACATCATCTTGGGCCGACCCGCCATTATGAAGATCGGTGGGATAATTTCAATGCCTCACCTATGCATGAAATTCCCCACCCCCAATGGGGTCGGTGTAGTCCGTGGCGATGTCCAATCCGCCAGGAAGTGTTACACCCGAGCGGTTAACAGACGCGATTCCGGTTCGTCTTCCCGGGTGAACACCATAGCCAAAGAAGAGGCTAAAGATCGGAAGGAACAACCAGAGCCTTCCGAGGAGATAGAAGAAGTTCCCCTATCCGAGGACCGACCGGATAGGAAAATCAAGATTGGTCGGGCCCTCACCCCCGATCTCCGAGCAGAAATTTTGGCCATACTCCGGGAGTATGCCGATATCTTCTCTTGGGGGCCCGAGGACATGCCCGGGATCGACCGGTCGGTTATTTGTCACAAGCTAGCCGTCGATCCCGCAGCAAAGCCGGTGGTGCAAAAAACCCGGCACCTTTCTTCCGATCGCCGCGAGTTTGTTAGAGAGGAAGTCAAGAAGATGGCGGCGATCGAGCACATCCGACCCGTGATCTATCCCAAGTGGGTGGCT